GCTCTGCCATCGGCCAGCGCAGTCCCGGGCCTGTCTTCATCCTGTCGAGGCTGCAGTTCTAGAATGCTGCCTGGCACACAGTAGGTGCCAAACGACACTTCCCGTGTGCCAAGCCTGGCGGCACACACTCCAGACAGCGCTCTGCTGCAGAGTCTATACTGGGTCTTCTTTTCCCGAATCCTGGGCATTGGGGAACGTGGAAGTTTGGGGAGCTAGGAAGGAAACAACCTCCTGGGCCGGTGCATCCTCACTCAGAGACTGAAGCTGTTGCTGCCTCCCGAGTCTCCTCCCTCCAGGCCCACCGAGGATGGGCCCGGGGCAGGAATAAAGCAACCCACAGCTTCTGCAAGACTGCAAGGGCCGGATGCAGCTGGACCTGGCTGGGCAGGGGGCTCACCGGGCTGGGCAAAGCCCGGGCTGGGGTGGGCATTGGGATAGGACCTCTGGGTTTCTGGGCTCGTCCGGCTCTGCCTCCTGTCTGAGGGGCCTCGGGTAGGGCTGGAAACTGGTTGAGTCTTTGCAGCTTCCAGGAGCACCTGGCTGCCCTGGGTGTGAAGATAAATGAGTGGTCACGAACATGGCACAGCTGATGTGCACAGGGCGGGGCAGAGGTCGGTTCAGTTGTTTGTATGGAAAAATAGTACAATAGTGAATAAATAATAATATGAGAATCAACTCTGTGTTTCACGTACTCACAGCTGTAAACCTTTTTCCCCACCCTGTTTGTAGACCCTCCCACCCAGTTTTCCAGGGGAATTCACAACGGCTTTCACAGGAAGCAAAGAAATGAGCATTTGGAGCGTGCCGGAACTCACACCGGAGGCCCTCCTGTCGCGGGCCTCGGGGAGTAGACCAGGGCGAGAATGCTGGGTCGTCCCAGGGATCACAGGTCAAGGTCAGGGAGGTGTGCGAGCAGGGGCTGCGACCCTGGCGGGGTGTGCGGGGAAGGGTCCGGGCATCAGCTGGAGGCCCCTAGGTTGTGTTAGGTCCCTGCTGGGAGGGAGGTGACACCAGCTCTGCTCAGGTGCTGCCCCGCCCACAAAGCAGCTGGAGATAACGGGGCAGTGGGAGCCACCTGCCGGCCCTTCCCCCTCTCCTGGGCCAGAGTTGCCAGACAGGCTTTAAAAATTAAGCCGGGGCCCTGGCGGGTGTGGCTCATTGGGTTGAGTGTCATCCCGCACGGCAAGGGGCCACTGGTTTGATTCGTGGTCAGAGCATATGCCTGGGTTTCGGGTTTGGTCCCTCGTTTGGGCGTCTAGGAGGGGCAACCAATCGATGTTTCTCTCCTTCTCTTTCTCCCTCCCTTCCCCTCTCTCTTAAATAAATAAATGAATGAATAAACTGGATAGTAATCTTTAATCTCAATTCCCGGGACTGCTGTGCTGTGCAGAGCCTGCTGCTGCCCGGGAAGGCCCGCCCTCAGACACAGAGCAAGGCGACCAAGGTTTGGGAGACCCCGACCACCTGGTCATTCATGTCCCAGCTTCGGTGCTGTTTGCTGTGTGGCCCTTAGCGGGCTGCTTCCCTTCTCTGAGCACACAGTCCCGAGTCAGTACAATGAGTGCTTCTCCTTGCTCCTGGAAAGCCCCCAGGGCTCATGAGCAGAGCAAACGGAACCACGGCCCGGCCCTGCCTCCAGCCAAACCTCGGTCCAGTCCTGGCAGGCCCAGCTCCCCAGGCCGCTGCCCCAGCTCTGCCCTCGGCCTCAGGGCCAGGGGACACCTTCCCGTTGCTTGCCATATCCTCTGCCGTGGCCCCCTCTCTGCCAGGCTCTGAGCAAGACGGACTCATCCTGGACCCAGAAGAGCTCCCAGTACAGTGGGGGAGGTGGTCCATGGACAAGAATGTAAATAAATTGCTAACCTAAAAATAAAAGGGCCTTTCAAAGTGAGAGGCAACAAACATTTATTGAGATCAATACGAATAGCTAGCTATTCGAGATGTTCTGGTTCAGGCAGAATCCCAAATAATATTCTGATTAGGAGACAAAGACAAGGGATATTTATGACAAAGGGAAGGGGAACAATTACATCCATAGAAGGAAGACATTTCTATTGGTGCAGACAACATAGTGATATTAATCCTAAACAATGTTTTTAATTTTCAGTCAGGTGCTCATCAGTCCAGTAGTCATCATAACTGCTTTCTTGTTCTCTTTGCAGGGTCTTTTTTGAGAAGCAAGGCTGCTTCGGCCCCGTCTAAATGTTATGTTGCCCTGTTTTTAACCTTCCAAGGTTTGAGCATAAGATGGGCAAAGCAGCTGCCCTGGCCCGGCAGCTCTGCCTACATTTTACAGCAGCTCTGTTAATACTATTGTTTACAAAATAAACATGAAGAAAATGGGGCAGGTGAGGGGATAGAGAATGGGTAGGCAGGGAGGCCGCTGCGAGGAAGCAGCATCTCAGCGGAGACGTCCGGGCCGGCCAGCAGGCGGTCTGGGCGGAGAGCGTTCTGCGCGGCCAGGGCAGCCGGTGCAGAGGCCCTGAGGCAGGTCTGGGCTTGCTGTGTGTGCGCAGAGAGGCTGAAGACCAGGGAGAGTGCGGGTTGTGGGGAGACCGGCAGGTGTGAGCGTTTGGGAGGTTCCATGGGGAGGAGAGCCTGACCTAACATCTAACAAGAAGGCTGCCTTCCCTGACCTCTAGGGGAAACTGACCAAATCCTCCCTCAGGGCAGCCACCCTAAGCCAGACGAGGCCTGAATGTGCCTGATGCGGAGGCTCTCATAGCAAAGACCACACATCTCTGCTCTCTGTCGGTTCAGACAGGCTCCTTAGCCCCAGGTGTGGGGCACGTAGCCACCCCACCCTGCTGTCTGGGGGCAATGGAGACACCTGGGCTTGGCGAAGGTCTCAGCCCAGCCCCGTGCCTGTGAACTCCACCCCTCAGCCTCGGGGCTGCCGCTGGGGAATGCCGCAGGGTGGGGCGCCTTCGCTGAGGTCAAGGGCCTGAGGAGCAGACAAATACTTTGTAAATGTCAAACTGACCTGCACACTGGCTTCCCCCACTTGGATGTCTGGACACCCTTTGTAAAAGCTGAAGGGCCCAGTAAATAATAACTGAACCTGCAAACCACTAGTGTTTGAACTGCGAGTTTACTAATCTGGCCGCAGCTTGGCAAACTCTAAGCTACTTGGTGCACTATAAAGTGCTCTGTAATCCTGTAGAGGGTTTTGCAAACTGCAAATTACTTTGTAAATTGTGTTTTGTAAACAGCCTTGAGCTTTGCCAAATGCAAAGTCCTTTGTAAACTGTAGAGTTCTCTGTAAACTGTACAGTAATTTGGCAGGTGGAGAGGGCTGTCGCCCCTGAGAATTTGGGGATGAATTAGACTCCCGCCCTGTCATCCTGCGTAGGGCCAGAGCTCCCAATGGCGCCCAGGCACGGAGATGGGGGAGGGGGGCAGGACGTGCAGAAAGGCGGGCCAGTGGGCTTCTGGCGGCGCGAGGGGAGAGAACTGAGCTGAACGCGGGGAGCCCCAGTGTAGGACCCTGGCCCATCGGAAGATTCTGCCCCCCTAGGACCGAGGGGGAAGGTGGAGGGAGAAGGGCGAGGGACAGGAGTTGGTGGATGGGGCGCTGGAAGGCCAAGACCGGGCAAGGACCTAGGCGTTCGGGGTCAAAGTGGGGTTTTGCCGCCTCCTGGTGGCTGCAGGAGGAGCGACTCGGGCCGCGCCCCAAGGACTCGGGTCCGGCCCGCACTGAGCGCGCGCGCACTAGCAGCCGGACCAATCCGCGCACGCGCACACAGCCGCACGCGCACCCACAGACGTTTTGGGGATTCATTCACTCCCTCCTGCGTTATTTCGTGTGTCATTCAGCCGTGTTTCCATTCAACAAATATTGACTGAGCCCTGGCTAAAGTGCCGGCACTCAGAACACAGCAGTGGCAGGTCAAATCTGCCCAGATGAAGCAGATACAGATTAGCTCGACTGGCCGGACCCGGGCGGGTGGCCTCGCTGAGAAAGTGACAGGGGAGACGTGGATTGGGGAGGAAGGGGTTTCCAGGCAGGGGGCACAAAAGCACCTTGAAATTGTCAAATGCTGTGCCAGGTAAGTGTTAATAGGCAGAGGCCTGTGCCAGCCCGAAGGCTATTTGGGGGCAGGCTGAGCGAAGGAAGGGAGGAGCGGTGGACCGAGCTGGAGAGAGCCCTGAGAAGATGCCCCCCTTCCCTTTGGAGGCCTCGGGAGGCCTAGGAGGACCTGAAATGAGGGCTCGGCCAACTCACCGGTTTGATCCTGCTGGCTTGTGTTTGGCTCGGGGAAGAGCATGTGACCCCTTCCCACCCAATAAGCCAGCCCTGGGACTTCAGAGGGAGCTCCGGCCGCTTGGCTAAGCGGGTAGCGGCCCCTGCGTCCTGCGTGTCCCCGTGAGGGGAGTGGGGAACTGAGACAGAGATAACAGAGCCGAGGGGGACACGGGATGTACAGCATAGCAACCACGTGCCTGGATCCAACTGTGCCTGCAGCCACACGCAGTCCTGCTTGCGTGAGCAAGCCAGCGCCCTTCTGCTGCAGACGGATGGAAGACGGTTTCTGGCCCTGCCCACGCCTCAGGGATCACAGAGCCGGGCTGCCTCTGGCCGGAGGCCTTCCTGGGGCTGCCCCGCCCCTGAGAGCCCTCCCCCAGGCCCCGCTGCCTGTCTCCAAGGCTGTCTCTCCATCTCACGAGCCGTGTGGCTCTGGACCTGTTGTACCATCTACGGACTGGGGATACCAACATAACAGCTTGAGAGGACAGCGGAGCCCCTTCACAAAGTGACGTCGAGGCCTGGGGCCCGCACCTGCTCCTCACTCTGGGCCCCGGCAAAGCGCTCTTCCGTGGCAGTGGGACAGGCGGCCCCGCCAGGGGTGGGCTCATGTCTCCTGCTCTGCCCAGCGCCCAGCATGGGGCCCGGTGCCTCGTCACAGCCTTCTGGGGGCCTCGGCGCCCTCGTGTGTGACAGTGCAGGGTCCCTGGGCCGCGCTGCCCAGCCCCGCCCCAGGGCCAAGAGTCCTTCCACAGGCCGCAGGCCCCCGCCGAGGACCAGGCTTACCACTGCGAGTCTCACACAAGCTTCTGGGCTGCTTTTTTTTTTTCCTTTTTTAATTAAAACAGCAATCAGGTAACTGCCCCAACCCATCAGGGATAGGACCCAAGATAGACAATCCTTTCTTCAAAAAAAAAAGAAAGAAAATTTTACACACACACACACACACACACACACACAAGGACAATAAAACCAAATCCATAATCTGTCCAGCCAGTCCCCACCGAGAGCATCTCTCTGAGCAGAGACTTTGAGCCCATCCCCCTAGACCCTGCTAAGCAGAGAGGGTGGGTCTTGGCCTGCTGGTCCCTGAGGGGTGGCAAAAAAAAAAAAACATGCAAAAAAAAAAAAGGAACAGCCAAACTCACAAAGCAAAAAGAAAAAGAAAAAAACCCAAAAAGATAAGTTTTAAAAAAAAAGTGAAGCGACACCCCTAGAGGCGACAGGCAGAGCCGAGGCCGCTGGGCAGCCCCCGCGGCCCTCTGGCCAGCGCCGGAGGGGGCCTCGACGCGCTCTGGCGTCTCCATCGTGGGGGTGCTCGAGAGGACTCGTGGGCCTCCCCCCCGAGTCCCCACTGCCAATGCCGGACAGAATGTGGCGCCTGGGGCCAAAGTGCGCAAAGTCCATTCAGTCAAGACACAAAACAAAACATACAGCTCGGGTGGCATCCACAGCTGGGCCAAGGCGGCAGCCGGGGCACAGGCACCAGCCGCCTTCTCTGTGAGGGGCAGCAACATCTGGTGTGGACATCCAGGCCCCTCCAAGTCCAGGGTCTTGGGGGCCGAAGACTTGGGGTCCTCGGAGCAGCAGGACAGAGGCCCTGGTGGGGCCCGCGGGGGCCCGGCCGAAGTCCGGACAGTCTGGTTCTTTGGCACTTGGGACCAGCCCCTACGACTCCTCCCAGAATGGCCAGGCCAGGGTGGCAGCCACGCGCGGGCGCGGGCGAGCACGGCCCCAGCCGAGGAGGCTCTGGGCTGCTGGAGGGCCCTGCCCTATGAGTCCTCTCCCAGGATCTCCTTCACAAAAGCAGCGATGTCTGTCTTCTTGGTTTTGTGCAAGGTGAAGAAAGGGTGCTCCTGACGGGGGACGGGTGGCGGCGTGAGGCCACGGCGCCCCGCGCCCCCCAAGGCCAGCCCCGGTCCCTGTGTGCTCCTTCTGCCTGGCCAGCCCCTGCTCATCCTGCCAGCACCCCTGCCCTCGGGAAGCCCCCCTCTTGGAGACAGCCCTGCCAGCTTCCTCCTCGGCCCCCTGCGGCCGCCCTCCAGCCACACTGAGCTCACTTCCGCCCACACGTGCCAGGCCTCTGCCCACGGCGGGCATACAGCTCCAGGTGAGTCCTCAGTCGTCCTGCCGGGCCTAGTTCACATGTCACCTTCTCGATGAAGCTTCCCCCCATTCCTTCAGATACGAGCCCACCCGCCTGCCCACCGCCGTCCCTCCGCACCCTGTCACAGCCCTGCCTGTGTGCCCCCCACAAAGCCTGGCATGAAGAGGGGAGCCAGGCAGCGAGTGGCTACCTGAATAAATTAACGTGGGGGCAAGGCAGGGGGCCGTCTGCCTCCGCGTGGGGGTGCGGCCCTCTGCCCCGCGAGCCAGCCCGGTGCCCCTCCCACGCACTTACCATCAGCTCCAGGTAGCTCATGCGCTCTGCGGGGCTCTTCCTCAGGCTATGGGAGAACAGGGCAGGCTGGGGCCAGCAGGCACGGAGGAGGCGAGGCCGGCCCCTCCGGGCCAGCCGCGCCAGCTGGGCTCAGGGCCCACGCCTGAGCTGGCAGGGAGGCCACAGACGGGCCCCAGGGGCCCAGGCAAGAAGGGGCAGGCTATTCCCAGGCGCCCCCGAGGGTGGAGCGGGCTCCGTGGGTGCAAACTAGAGAGGCTTGGGCCATGTCCGGTGCCTCTCCGGGTGTGAGCTTTCTCGTCCTACATCAATCTAGGGAGCTTCCAATGAGTGTGGTATTAAGAGGGCCCTGCAGGGCCACCGCTGGCAATCGCGTCCTTGGTGTCCTGACCCCGGGGGGGCGGGGGGGGCCATTCCTCCTCCCAGGCCTGGGCGCGGGGGGGGGGGGTGCGGGGGGGCCTAACTCAGGGGAGCCAGGGTGACTGACGACTGTTGCAGGGCTCATTTGTTTTCAATCTTTTTTATTTTCTAATAAAAGAAATAAAGGCTATAAGTTTTCCTGAGTATCTCTTTACACACACCACACAGATGCCGATGTGTTCTTTTCTGTCTTTCACTTCTGAATACCTTAGAATTTTGTTTTTGAAATCTCTTTCATGACCCAAGAGTGAGTCAGAATAACTTACTTTGAATTTCAACGTGGCTTTCTCTTCTTTTGTTATGGGTTTCTTATTTTATTTAATTATGGGCAGAGAACATGGCCTGTTTGACTCTGCCTTTTTCCTGTTTCCCTATTTCTTTTGTAAATTCAAACACAGTTTTTATAAGGTCCCCACAGGCATTCTTTAATTTGGTACAAAGTTCCAAACATCAATAAAAGTAAATTTCTTTATGCTGTTCAAATCCTCTGAATGGATTTGGTTTTTTCGTCGTCTTTTTCGGTCTCCTCGGGTCTGTCCACTTTCAGGATTGTATTAAAATCTCGCAGGAGCCCCAGTCTGTCCCCTGCTCCTGCCCTCTCTTTCTGCCTCACACATTGTGGTGCTACGTTCTCTGGGGGGTCGTCTGCCAAAGGAGAAGAGGACGGGGCCCAGGAAGCAGCTGCGGTCTGGCCAGGGCAGGGCTGCCACTTACCATTGTGCGGTGAAGTCCACAAACTCGGGAGAGAATTGGTCGGCTGGGAGCTGGGGGGAAGGCTCCTCCACCACCTGCTTCAGCTGCTGGAACGGGGTCCCCCAGGACCCGTAAGGAAACCGCAGGATCGCCATTTCGATCTGCAGGGAGGACAGTGGCACTGGTCAGACATACCCGCACTCTGCACCCAGAAGCAGGACGCTTTCAGAGCCTGCCCTGTCCTGGCCCAGCGCCGGGAGGGGCCAAGAGGCAGGTCAAGGGCTGAACATGACACCAGGGCAAAGATGAACGCTGGGGACATGGGGCTTGGCTGCTCTGACCGCGCCAGCAGCAATTAAGCCCACGAAGCAGACCCTGCTCCGAGCTGGGACTAGTCTGACCATCCTCGCGTTCTCGAACAATCTGCATTCAGAGAATTTTACACAAAACGCGGCTTCCACTGAATGTGGAAAAATCAGAGGGGCTGGCAGCCCCGAGTCTCCGTTCTGCAAGGCAGCAGCTTCACTGCCCACCAGAGGCCAGGCCCCTTCCTCCTGTCCCCACGTCTCGGCCTCCGCTGCCCTCGGCTCGGGCTGCTGTTATTGCAGAGGAGGCAAGCGGGGTGTCAGACGTGGGGCCCCTGTCCGGCCGCCCGGCTCCTTCTCTCTGCAGCAGCCTGCTCCAGGCTCCACCGGGCACTGAGGCTCACAGCCCCCTCCTCCCCAGCGCCCCACCACCCACCCATTGACACCCCGGGAGGCCCAGCTCCAATGCCTCCTCCTCCTCCGGGAAGCCTCCTCTCTGTCCCCACCACAGTTTCTCCCTGACCCCTGGCTATGGGGCCACTGTGGCCTTGTCAATCCTGCTGGACCTGGACCCGGACCCCCCTGCACATGGCCTCGGGGCTGCCCGGGCTCTGCCCATGTGCCAGGCACCCAGCCCATGCCTCGCCCGCAGGGGGCAGAAAGTCGCTGAGTTTTGCTGACTGCTGAAATAAAAAGGCAAATCAGGTCAACGCAGGCCCCTGCTCAAAACAGCAGAGGCTTCTTGATGACAGAGCATAATGACCATAATAAAAAGAAAAGACCTTAACTCCAACTAATGCTTCATGTTGGCAACTGGCACCCAAACAGATCACTAACTATTGTGCTAAGCAAGAGCCTTCCCATGAGGCTCAAGGACCCTTCCAGCCATGACATACACCCCCCCACGGACAGAGGACATGCACAGCCGAAATTTGGGCTGCCCTTTCCTAGAAGGTTCACTGATTCCAACAAGCAGGAGTGAGGACCCCATATGGGCTGCCATGGAAGGACCCAGAGGCCGACCAGAGCTTATAATTAGAAAGGTGAAAACATGTCCAAGACCTTCACCTGGGAATTCCTTTCCTCGTCATTTTTTTCTAAAAAGCTCAAAAAACTGGAAATCAACAAAAAATGCCTCGGGGCGCACAGACGCCTGAGACGGTGCTGTCCGTGACAATGGACCCTGGGGAGCAGCCTAAAGGCCCAGCGCCAAGGGCCAGCCGGTCACAGGGTGGCGCCTGCCCAGGGCAACCACGAGGCGCGCCCTGCGACCCCAGACGAGTGCTCACGGGACCGGCCCTGGGCAGCACGCATGACGGCCGAGAGCCGTCCACGTGTATCCCAGGAAGCGCTCCGTGGCGCGGGTCAATGCCCACAGAGAGCCGGCCGGTGGGGCTCCGCGAGGACAGCGGGGAGGCCAGCCGGGCGGGCGAGCCCGATGTGCAGCGCTTCATCAGTCCCTCCCCCGGGATGGCCAGGAATTTGAAGTCAAAAGAAAAAAACAGAAACAAGGGAAATGTCCCGAACTGGAAAACTGGCTGAGGAGATGGTGGCAGGTGGTTGTAAATGCTCTGGATGAGATGCATACAGGGATTTACAACAATCTGGAGAAACATGAGTGATGTGAGGCTAAGTGAGAAAAGCAAAATAAAATATATATGTATGTGAGTTTTTGGGGGGTTTTTTTAATTTACAAAGAGAAAACGTCTGGAAGGAAGTGTACAATGTTGGTGGCTGACACTGGGGCAGAGCTGTGTGTGTGGAGTGGAACAACCGTGATTTTTTTCCCATTTACTTTTCCTCCGTGTTTTTATACTGTGTTCCTACTACTTTGTAACCACTGCAGCTACACTCCCTGACCACCACAGCATCCCCCCGCCGCGCGCTTGCTAGTGCCCCGCTCCACAGATGCAGTCGGTTTCCCCATGAACTGCGCGGGCTTGCGACGTGCTCTGACCCACACAGCGACGCAGCGTGACGCGGCCAACTCCGGGCCTAGCGCTAAGCAGCACGTCCCTCCAGAAGCCAGTCACCACGCCCCATCTCCACGCTCCGAAGACACCCAGCGAACAAGCTGCCTGAGGAATCCGGTGCCAGGCCCATGTTTGTAAAGCCTTCTTGAACCTTCCAGCCCTGCCCAGCCCTGACCCCAGCCAGAGCCACGTGGAGTAGAAGACCCACCCAGCTGAGTCAGGCCAGACTGCAGTCACACATGAAATAACAAACCACCCTGTCCAGGTGGCTCAGCCAGAGTGTCATCCCATGGACCAAAAAGGTCGCAGGTTCGATTCCCGGTCAGAGCGCGTACCTAGGTTAGAGGTTCAATCCCCAGTTGGGGCACATATGGGAGGCAACCAATCAATGTTTCTCTCTCATGTCAATGTTTCTCTCTTTCTCTCCCTTCCTCTCTCCCTAAAAACATATCAAACACATTTAAAAAAAAAAAAAAGGAAATAAAATGTTGTAGGTTTGAGTCATTAGGTTCTTAAGTGGTTTGTTACACAGCTTTTGGTAACTGAAATATGCACCGAGCACACACTTTTCTAAGTTCCCCAGAGACATCAGGTCACTAGAATGTGGTTGGTCCCCAACCATGATGCTGGACGGACAGACGGAAGGGAAGGAGAGACCAAGGAGGGAGGGGAGCAGGCGCAAGTGTATGAGTGAAGGGACCCTGAGTGCGGCCTCTAACATCTAACCACTTGTGTGTAGCCCATAACTACAGAAAGAAATTGGTCTTATTTTTTTAACTAGGGACTTGGAAAACTTTCATCTGCAGGTGCAGCATCCACCTTTGGACTGTGAATGTTCCTCTCCGCTTCAAAAAGAAAAAATTTTGATGGCAGTGCTAAGGGGAACGGAAGGTGTCAGCAGTTCTTCCATTTTCTCTCTGACAGAACGGTTTTGACTGTGACCGTCCCCCGCCACTGCGGGCAGATAGGGCTTAGAAAGCTGGAGTCCCGCGGCGTTGACAAGGACTGATGGGCGCAGCCACGGGAATCCCGACATCGCCGCCGGCCCGCGCCCCCAGCCCGCCTCGCCTCCGACTGCCCTCGCGCCTGGCCCCCAGGCTCCCGCGCGGCTGCCCACCCCGGGCCTCTGCCCCAGAGCCCTCAGGCCCTCCCGCCCCCTGCCCCGGGGCTCAGCGCACACAGCCCACAGCCACTCCCCACCCTGCTGGACTCTTCTCCACACCCCCTTGCACTGCATTTCTTACAGATTGATCTTATTTATTGATTGCACTCTGTCTCTGACACCAGTAAGCCAGAGGGACTGAGGCAGGGTCAGTGCTGACACCCCCACTGAAAAAAGTCAACAGATCTGAACCCTCTTAGTTCCAGTGATTGGGATGGAGGGTGGGGGGCACCTACCGCTCAGGCCAGTGAGTCCGTCGGACTGACTCACGCGTGCCGGGCCAAGACAGCAGCGTTTTCCTGGGTTCACACGCACAAGTGTGTGCCCCTCACCGCATCCCAGTCCTCCCTGCCCCTCCAGCCCATGCTGGGCGCCCACGCAGCTTCCTAAAAATCACTAACTAAAGCGCGACATGCACCCAAGCAGGGGCCAGCGCTCTGCTGGTCAGTTCTTGAAAAAGAAGAGCCACGTGGGGCCGGCCTTGCCCCTGGCCCTCAGATGCAGCCGTTCTGGCTCGGCCAAGGGCTGCGCGCCTGCCCCGCCCCACCCGGCCCACCCCACCCAACCCCACTCGGGGAGATGCACCAGGGCCCCCTAGGCAACACACTTCTTGCTGTGAAAAAAAAGGTTTTAAAGATGTTTATCATTTTGCTTTTAAAATTACTTATATCCCAGAAGCTCACTTAACGTAGGATTGGCTGTGATTTCTCAACAAGCATCAAGAGCTACGGAGAAAGCCCAGAGGGCGAGTGAGCACGAGCTGCCGGCCTCCTGGGAAGGGCGCCCTCGCCACGCGGGACGCGCTTCACGCCACCTGCAGGCATTACCTTTAACACACCATGACTTTGGATGGCACAGTTTCCTCTCAGATTGTCAAACCAACACCTTTTTCTAGGGTCTCAACTATTTGGCATGACCCCCAAAAGCGCAGGGACCAGGTGCGCGCCCGCCTGGCCCCACCCCCCAGCCAGGGCCGCCCCTGCCCCGCGCGGTACCATGGTGATGCCGAGGCTCCAGACGTCGGACTTCACGTTGTAGCCCTTCTGGTTCAGCTCCGGGTTGATTCTCTCAGGCTGCAGGGGGCACCAAGAGGCGTGAACACCTGCTCCACAGGTAGGGACCAGAACAGGGGTGACCCAAGCCTCCAAGCGCACCCTGCCCCACCTCGCCATGGGACAGATGGGGAAACTGAGGCCAGGGGGGCCAGGGTCTCGTGATGAAGGCCCAAACCTTGCCTCGATGGACCCCCGGCTGGGGGTTGGGAAGAGCACCTTCAGGACACCGGTGGGGCCGGAGGGGACCTGCCCAGACCCCGTGCAGAGCCTCCTCATGGGAATCCATAAAGCTTGCCACCCAAATGGGCACTCAGGGCACAGTTAACAGCAGCGGTAGAGGGGCTGCTTGGGCAGTGGGCTGCAGAGCGCCACCTCTGGGGCCGGCGCAGCAGCGCCAGGGGGCGGCCCTGTCCCTGACGGGCAGAGGACGCGACCTGACCGCCACCTCCCGGGCACGCCCCCTTGCGGCCCGCAGCCGTGGCCCCCGCCGTGGCCCCCGCCGTGGGGGGCAGAGGACTACTCACGGCCATGTAGGGCTTGCAGCCAGCGTCCATCGTCTTGGCCACGGAGTCCACCAAGTAGCCGCTGATCCCAAAGTCACACATCTTCACATGCCCCTCCTTGTTGATGAGGACATTAGATGGCTTTACATCTGCAGGGACAGAGTAGGCCTTTGCAGCTGCAGGAACCCCGGCTAGAGAGCAGCGGGCTTCTCCGCCACCCCAGTTGCCCCGGGGGCAGACGCTGCCTGGGCCCAGGAGGTGGGCAAGAGACTGAGGCTGCAGGAGGTGCTGCAGGAGCCCAAGGTCACACAGTTAGTGACATCATGATGAGGATGTGCTGCAGCCACCGGCCAGGCCACGGGTCGGGAGGGGCGTCAGGCCCCTGCTGCTGCCCCCAGGACAGCGTCCTGGCTCCGGTCACCAGCGCCGTGGACACACGGTCCAGAGAAGCAGGCTACCCTGGCATAGGCGGCCTTGTGGTAGGGGCTGGACCCCACTTCCTGGTACAACCTCTAGCTCTGGAGTCTTCCTAGGCTGGGCTACGGGGTTCATCACTGACGGGGTGGGACCCAGAAGCGACCCAAACACCCAGGCCAAAGGGTCCGCAAATTCAGCCGGGAAGCACAGGGCAGAAGCCAAAAAGCACAGGAGGCAGGCAGTTCCGCGGGGAACCCGGGGCCGGCCCGCGGCTGGAGCGATGCCGAGCAGGCTGCACAGCAGGGGGTCTTCCAGCAAACACACGCACACGCCTCCCGTGTGCTCTCTGTGGGAACCTGCGCAGCATAGAAACGCACAGGAAAAGCTCTGGCAGGTTCCATGCTGAACTGCCAACAGTGGTGAGTGGTGGGTGAGGGCTGGGATGGCCACTCCACGGCCCAAGAGGCTTAGTCTAATTAACTTTGTAAAAGCAGTAGGTCGGCTTAGGAGGACCACTAAGAGCAACGGAAAGGAAGGTGCGACATACACAACCTGGCGGGTCTAGAAATACTGGGCTGAGTGGAGGAGGCTGGGCAGAGGGCACATGCACGGGAGCCCATCTACATGAAGTTCAAGAATGAGAAAAACCAATCTACTGTGGAAAAAACAGGGGAGGGGCGCAGGAGGATGAGGAGCGCAATGCCCAGGGGGCCTCCCAGGGCGGGGAGCCTGGTGGGAACACGCTGCATCTTGGCAGGGGCGGGGCTGCGTGGGCGTGAACTCTGAACAGGGTCACCGAGCAGCAACCGCAGTCCCTGCACCTCACCACATGCAGAGAATACATCCAAACAAAACCAGTCAGGTTCCCGGGGAAGGGCCCACCTCGTCCGTGCCCTGAGGAGCGGCAAGCCTGGGAGGGGGTGGCAGGGGTGGGACCGGGTCTGGGCTGGGGGCTGAGGGCTGAGGGATGTGGCTTGGAGGGTTGGAGAGTGGCCTAGACTGAGAGGCAGGCTCAGCGCCGGACCCCAGCAGGCTCATCCCTACCCGTCACCTCCCTGAGCCTCAGGCAGCAATTTTGGAAAAGGGAGAAAGGGGCACCCGCCCCACGGGACTGAGGGAGACCGCGCAGGCGGGCCTCCTGGGGGCCCCCCCCGGGGGGCGGGCAGGCTCTGACCTCTGTGGATCACGGACAGCTTGCTGTGCAGGTGCTCCAGCGCCCTCACGATCTAGCACGCAGGACAGAGACACAGAGCTGGCGTTACTCCTGGTCGCATCGACGGCAGGGCAGTGAGAGCCCCGCCCTCGTCGCTGTGTCTCGTTCTCCCCCCCATCCAGCCCCTCTGTAACCTGGGCTCTGGCCTGCACTCCAGCCTCTGCCCCAGAGCCCTGGCAACCTTGGTACAGACACGCCTCCCGCCGCCCAGCCAAGTGGACCCGGGTCTCGGGTCCGAGCATTTACCCGGGAAATGGTGCAGTGGAACCCCTGGCAGAATCCAGGACTTGTGACCCGCCCTCCCAGGGGCCCCTGCCACCCCTCCCGGGCTCTTAGGTAAAACCCAGCCCGTCCGCGGCCGCCCCGGCCCCTCCCCTTCCCTCAGCAGAGCTGGTGGACTAAGTGCAGGAGTTGCGCCCCTGAGGAGGGCAGAGGTTCCGACTCGAAACCAGACGCAGCCAGAACTAAACGCCACGAGTGTGCCCGTTTCCGTGTTCAACCTGGCTGCCAGGATGCTCGCGCACAGCGCTGCCCCTCCTCCAGCGCTGCAGAACCTCAAAAGGCAAACTTTTAGACGCCAGCCTTTCCCCAGCTTAGCTGATATCTCTTTGAGCTGCCTCAGGATGGACAACACACTTGTAAATACTAAGTCATTTTTTAAATGATCGAGGAAGCTTGGGAGTTGCACACAAAGGCCTAGAGACCCAGGAGCTGCCAAATCTGTGTGGGTCTCCTCAGCAGAGAAGCACTGGTCCAGGGCTGAGGAGCTGGGCCCCTGGGGGGCAGTGACCCAGGTTACAGGCTACACTGGGGCCCAGCTCTGCCCAGAATACGGCTCCCAGGCTGCGCCCCGGGCCAGCCACGGCCAGGCAGGCGCTCTGCCACGCACCCGGAGCGCCCGACCCCCGAGCCCCCCGGGCCGGAGCCACTTACCGACACAGCAATCTTTCCCAGAATGTCCTCCGGAATCGTCATGCTTTTGTCAAGCACCTTACGGTAGAACTTGTCCAGGGACGTGTCCATGAGCTCCATGCAGATCCACACATCTCCCTGTGGGCGGGCACCGAGGTTAGCTCAGGCCACGGGGCAGCACCGGCGCCGGGGCGCCTGCCCGGTGCTGGCGCCAGCCAGGCCTGCAGCGGACACATCTGCCCGCCCCTCAGCCGTGAGCGTCACCGAGCTCCCAGCTCCTCCCATCCGGCCCCCCAAAAATCGCGACCGCCCACTTCTGGACCTTCCATGCTTGCCTGCGCTGCCGGGGCCGCCCCAGCCCCCAGCCCCCAGCCCTGGCGCCGCTGGCCTCCCCTACCCGACCCTTGACTTCACAGTAATTCCCAGGGAGAAGCGACGGAAACACACAGCTGCCTGTGTCCCTCCGACGGGAACGTCCAGGCTCTGGCGGCGGCTCGGCCCCTGGCCCAGCCCAACGCCCCCAGCACAGGGCTCGCCCAGCGCGGCCCTGGCAGACGGCTCCCTCCTCCGCAGCACTGCTCTGCCCCCTCCCCCCGGCCCCCCAGCAAACTCCTGCATGCCCCTCAGGACAGCCTCCTCAGAAAGGCTGGGTGCAACATCTCCTCGGGGGCCCCCCAGGCCCCAGGGCCTCTCTGCCAGCTCTGGCCCAGCACGCAGCGAGGTCCAGGTCTGTGTCTGTCTCCTCAGCAGCAAGGGGACAAACAGCCTGAACCCAGCACACAGTGGGTGTTTAGTCAGTGTGGATGGCAAGGCCCTGACCCACCACAGGGTCTGGCCCAGCCAGCAAGCTCAGGGACCCACAGGGGCTCCAAGAGCGGGGCGGGGCAGGGAGAGCCCTGACCTTGCCCCGAACTCCAGGAGGTAAGTGACCATCGCAGACCACGCCCGTCTGACGTGGGCTCTGGCCGCCGTTCACTGCACACCAGCCCCTTACGCCATCCGGCAGGAGCCCACCCTCCCTGCCCCGCAGGCCACGCCCCCTGGGCCTCCCCGGTCCCTCTCGCTCCCACAGACCCAGAGCCACACCTGTGCACACCCGGACCGCGGCCCTGCCCCGAGTCCCGCCCCTCTGCCAGGATGCTGACAAGGCCGGAGGTCACACAACCCGGTGGCACACTCACTGAGTGCCAGGCCTGGGCCACATCCTGTCATCTTCGCGACAACCTTGTGAGGTGGGTACACTCACTCACCGGTCTCCTTTCATAGACAAGGAAACTGAGGCAGGAAGCAAAGAAGCCAGGCAGTCGGGCTCCCAGGCCCGAGCTCTCAGGCCCCGCTCTGCCACCTCCCAGGCAGGCGGGGCCCGTCCCCTCCCCGCGCCCAGCACCCAGGCTCAGGGACACTCAGCAAGTGTCTGCAGGGCCCCAAGGTGACCAAAAGCGGGCTGCAGGCGTGGCGGAAGGGGCAGGTGTGCTGACAGAAGGTGAGGGCAGGGTGGTCCGAGCCCCCAGCCTCTAGCCCAGCCTCTGCGCCCCACCCTCCTGCCAAGGCCGCACCTCTCTGAAGAGGGCCCCATAGAAGGTGACGGTGTAGAAGCAGTCAACTGTGCGCATGTTCACATCCAAGTCCATAAGCAGACGCTTCTGCTCCTGGGAGTTCACGGTGGCCCGGATCCGCTGCAGGGGAAAGGGCTGCTGTTAGGGGGCCACACAGCAGGGGGCGAGCACCCCACCACCACCCACATGAGGGCGGGGCGGGCTCAGCCCACCACCCCCGCCGGGCAGCCTCCGGGGCGCCCCCCCGCCAGGCCCCCTGCGCACCTTGACAGCCATGATGGTGCCGCTCGGGGCGTGCCGTACTTTCTCCACCACCCCGTAGGCTCCGCGCCCCAGCTCTGAGATCGTCACCAGGTCATCGGCCTCTACCTCAAAGTTCTTGGGGGACAGAAGAGAGAGAAGGTTGGTGGCCAAAAGTCAGGAGTGGACCCTCCCCTCACTCAGGGGAGACAGCAGGGGCAGCGGAAAGAGAAGACAGCCAGTCAGACCCAGGCTCAAACCCTGTACCCACCACTTCCTGCTGTGGGACCGGGGTCAAGTCACCTTGAGCATCTGTAGAACAGGCCCAGTGCTCATATCCAAGGGCTCTCACAAGATGCAAAGAGGGCAGCCCGTGCAATGCCCCCAGCGGCCACAGGGGCTCAGGAGGTCCCCTTGCCCTCCTGTCCCCCACCCCACTCAGGTGGGCAGGCTGAATCTTCCATTCAGCCAGTATTTACTGAGCACCTGCTGTGTGTGTCTGTTTTGGGCGCTTGAGACAGAACAAAACAAAGGGCCCGCCCTCACAGTGAGCAGCGTGGCGGCTGCCTCTGCTTGCTCGCGCCCTACAATAAACAAACAGGCAAGTAGATGACCTGGACATCAAACAGTGACAAGTGGCCAGGAGGTAAAATAAGCCTGGGAGATGCCGGCAGCCAAGGAGAGGCTCTGGAGGGACCGTTCTGCCTGGGGCCCCTCAGCCTGGCTGGTGGCTTAGGTGCCGTCCCCGAGCCAGGAGTCCCGGTCCCTGCTGCCCAAGCCATCGGAGCTGCGCGTGGGACACAGGCTCCAAGGCGTGGCCTCGACAGCCGGGCTGGGGTCTGCACGTTCCACACACTGTTTCCACAGGTGACACAGGGACAAACTCTGAGGTCAGCCACTGTCACCATTCCGGATGCAAAGGTCGGAGAGAGGGAGGCCCAGGACCCGACGGCCAGCCTCCAGGGAGGGAGGCCCCTCTCCAAAGCCCACCTCTGCCTGGCACCCGCAGCCACCTCCCAGGGGCCCGATGGGGTCAGCGTGGGTCCGTGTCAGACGGAAGTTCACGGGGGCCCCGCAGGCTGCAGCCAGCACCTACCCTGTCTCCAATGGTAATGAAGGCCCGGGAGTCAAGGTTCCTGGGGGGGCTGTGGGGAGAAAACAGATCCCCTGAGCCTCTGAGAGAACCACACCCTTCCCATGATGGGAAGAGCGAACAGCCTGGCACCAGGGCCAGAGGCGTGTCCTGTCCCCAGCAGGTGGCGCGACTCAAAGCGCCTCATCTCTGCCACTGAGCGTGCGCTGTGCCTGGGCCAGAAGGCCTCACCTTCCCGCCTCTGTCTGAGGCAGGGAGCAGAGGCCCAGCACTGGCACGAGATGCTGCAAGTGCCACCCCAGCCCGGCCACCCGGCCCAAGCGGCTCGCAGGAGGCTCAGCCTGACACACTCTCTGCGGCTTGCTCTCATCCCCTGGGCCCCTCCTGGAAGCCTCTCCAGGCTGAGCCAGAGGAGAAACTGAGGCAGACTCACGTGGGGTTGGGCACGGTTGGCTTGGACACACAGGAAATATGTAAATCCTTCTTCCTCTTGGATTTTCCTAAAAAGGAGAGATGGCGAGGTGTCTGTGAGAAAGTTCCTGGGAAGGCCCCCAGCCAGAGGTGCCTTGTCCTGGTGGCCTCCAGCGCACTAACACAGGTGCCCTCTCCGCTGTAGTGAGGACCTCGGGGGGCGCATCTGAGACGGAAGGAGCTCCTTCCAGTCCCCAGCTCTGTCACCCCTTCTTCTCTGAGCCTTAGAATGCAAGCACCCACCTCAGGGGCAGCTGGGAGACCTGGAGCAGACGCCGCTGGGGGGCCCCTGGCTGAAGCCTGGGGCTCATTTCTCCCCACCCTGCAGTTCTTGCCTGTGCTGCCCATCCAAGAAACGGACTGGAAGCCCACTCCCCTCATCAGGGCGTGCAGTGGGCCTGAGGCCCAAGGCGAAGCCTCTCTCCCCCTCTGCCCCGTGGACGGGTGAGGGGCTTGGCCTTCCTGGGCCCCTGTGTGCGGCTGAGCTCCACGCCTCTCAGGCGAGCTGAGCGTGGCCACGCCCAGCATGCGGCGCAGAGCTCCAGGAGCCTCAGCCTCATGCAGCCCGGGCTGGGGCTGGGGCTGGGGCTGGGGCAGCGGAGGCAGCTCTCAGGACCGCCCTTTGAAGAAGACGCAGCGTCAAGAGCAAGGCCCAGAGACAGCGGGAATCCTGTCAGGAGGAGCAAGGCAGGCGTGAGTTGCCAGCCCCTGCTGCCAGGCACCCAGCCTGGGGCTCCGCTTTCCAGAGAAGGGAAGTGACGTGCCCAGGTTACGAAGCCTGCAGTGGCAGAGCTGGGACTCGACCACAGGTCCCCAAAACCACTCAACAGAAATGGTGCGACTCAGGCACCTGCTCCTGCAGGAGGGCCCTTCCTGCCTCCCTGCACAGCGGGCACCTGCTCCACCCTCCCCGCCCCCCGCTGCACCACCACCGCTGTGGACACACTCGCCGGAACCGGGAGCCATGCGAGGCTCTCCCAGCTGCACCCGGAGCACCGGGTGGGCCCAGCCCCAGAGCCGCCTCTGCACTAGGTTCCCACTCAGCCTCTGCCATGCCCCCCCGTGCCCCACCTGAGAAGCCTGCACAGGGCGCACACACTCAGGCCCAGCAGCCAGGGTGCCTGGCACCACCATTGAGTGATGGGATGAGGCTGTTGCTGCACCTGGGAAGACAGGCCCTGGACCCAGCTGTCCTCAGAGCTGACGAAGGACGAGGAAGCAGCCGGCAGTGGGGGCCCCCAGTGTCTGCACTGGGGGACAGGCAGAGCACCGCAGTCTCTCCACAGAAGCCACCTCAGGGACCCCCAGAGGCCAGGTCAAAAGCATGGGCTCCCTCTGCTCTAAGTCCAGATCCCATCTTTGCCGCTCAAAGGCTGGGTGACATCGGGCCACTCTCCGTGCCTCTCTGAGCCTCAGCATCCTCCTCCATGCAACGGGGATAAAAAACAGCACCCATTCCGCAGCTACCAAGCGGAGCACTCAGGGCAGCCCTCGCACTCGGCCGGCTCAGAGCTGCGGCGCTGCCCCGGGCCAGGCCCGGAGGCCTCAGGAAACAGCAGTTTCCACAAACAGCAATAACAACAGCGACGCAGTCGGCACTCACTGGGCAGCCACCTTCCGTTCCCTGGCACAGGGCACCTGGTCACCCAACCACGACCTCCCGTGAGAGGTGCCTTCATCCGTTTTACAGAAGAGACAACGTGGACGGCTGTCAGGGGGTGGGTGGGTCTCACTCCAAAGCTCTCATCCAACAAAGAGGCAGCCTGCCATGCAAGCGGCCCCGCCGCCACCCGAAGGGAACAGAGCTTAGCCTCGCTTTATTCGGGGAAACTGAGGCACAAAGGGGCAGCCGCCACACAGTGTGTCAGGGGTCTGGCTGGGGGGCGCTCCTGGGTGTGTTGCCTCAGAGACCCCGACAGGCCAGGTCAGCAGCTCACAGCACCCCTCCAGCAGGGAGCCTCCAGAGGGACAGGCCTGTCACCCTCTCCGACGGGAAGCACGGTGGCACCCCCTGCTGGTCAGGAGCCCAGAGGCCTCCCCAGGTTTCCCTGGGCCCAGTATGGTCCACACAGCAACAGGGAAACAGAAAAGCCGAGGCATGCGGGACCACTCATTCCTGAGGCCGCTTCCGGCTGCCCCTGGGTCTCCCAAGGTCGCCACTGACTTCTGGGGAGGGGGGCACGGGGCGCTGGGTGGCAGGCTGCTGGAGGCCGCTGCCAGGCCAGTGCTGCCAGCACTGTTTGCTGGGTGGCAGCCCAAGGAAGTCCAGCCCTGCGCCCTGGCAGAGAGGCCCAGCAGGGACCCCCCTCTCCGCCCTGCGGGTGCCAAACCACGGGAGAGGACCTCGGGGAAGTGCCCCGCTGCTTGCCAAGATGAGGTCTCATCTGCAAAGCACTTGGCACAGGGCTTGGACCTTGTAGGTGGTCCTACTGTGTTGGACACAGTAGGTGGTCCTATATGGGACCAGAAATGGTCTCCACAGTTATCATCGGCCTCTTCACAGAAGTGAAAAACTTTGTCCTAAGTAATGAGAACTGTGGGTAGCTCTTATTCTCAACTTGATGCTTTTTGTAACTAGAAAGTAAAATATTTTATGTTAAAAGTCAATAACCCACTCAGGGCTCTGCTGGGGCTCACAGCCACCCCTCCCCAGCAGTGGCCCGCCCCTGGCCAGGCCTGCCCGCCCCGCCCCTGCTCTGGGACTGAAGGTGTGCTCCCCACTCACCAAGCCTCGATTTGCCTACCTGTCAAGGGAGCTCCCCCGCCCGTGGCCAGGCCAGGTGAGCGAGGACCACATGGGGAGGCACAAGGCACTCAGTGGGGAGGGCTCCCACCGGCTTCCCTCCCGGCCCCAGGAGGGGCAGAGGCTGCGGCGAGCAGGTGCGCTGGGCGGGTGGGCGGAGTGTGGTCCTGGCTTCTCGCCCTCCTGCCCACTGGGGTCGCCAGGCCGGCGTCTGGAGGGACATGGTCTCCCTGGGGCAGCCGTGCCAGGCTGCCATGGAGACAGCCCAGAAACAGGCCACAGGCCACCAGCTGCTGCCACTCTTTACCACAGACATCGACACTGGACCCAGGTAGCCAGGCAGCCCGGGGCTGCCCAGGTGCGAGGCTACTGTGGAGACCGTCACCACAACAAACAGAGCTTCACAGGTCACTACCACAAACCCCAGCCAGCCTGCCAGCCTCGACCTGCAGGGTCCCCGGCCCAGGCGGGCACAGCGCCAGGTTTCTATGCGTCCTCAGCTCTCACTGGCCCCCCAGCAGCATCGCAGGCAATACGGTAGAGAGAGGGCCCTGGGATCAGACACGACTCCCTCCACTCTGCCCACCCCGCCCGTCTCCCCGCACTCGCCACTTCCTGAATACGCCGCCTTCTCTCCCACCGCAGGGCTCTGCAGCTCTGCCCCCTCTGCCTGGAATGCTCTTCCCGGCGACTGTGTCCTACCTGGTATGCGATCCCCACCTTTCACCTACTCGGGGAGGCCCTCCTGGTTGCTCCAGCCCAGCCCCCTTGGCGCTGCTGCCCGGGTGTCCACCTGGCTTCTCGCTGTTGCTTCTCAGACGTCGCCATTTTGTAGTTACTGTCTGAGAGGCAGCGAGCAAAATGCACCGACTCTGGAGCCAGAGTTCAAGTTGCCTCTCCGCCGCCGCCTGGTCGTGTTCCCTCGGGCAAGTGAGCGAGGTGACCTAACCTCTCCGGGCAAGACGGCCCCAGCTGTGAGACGGGGACAGTGGCCCGGCCTCCCCCATCATCAGGTGTGTCCACAGAGCTCCTCGGGGCCACGCCCCAGCAGTGCCTGGCACGCGGAAGGTCGGACGCGGCCATCTGGGTACCCACGGTGCCCCCGCCAACAGCAGGCCTCGGCCCCGGACGGCCACTCACCTACTACTCTCAGCAGCCCCACGGAGGAAGCGTCTGCGTGTGTCTGTTGTGCCAGGGGCTCAGGGTTCACAAAGCCAGAGACAGGAAGAGGACTGGCAAGGGTCTGGCAGGCGCCTCGCAGGGCGCGGGCGAACCCCAGGCGGCGCGGGACGGGAGTGCCGGGCACAGTCGGGAGAGGAGGAGAGCAGAGTCTGGGAGAGGGGGCCGGTCTCTCCCCAGAGGAGCCCAAGGGAAGGAGCTGTCTTTTTGTACCTTTGAGATTCCTAAACACATGCAGTACCAGCTACTGATATGTAAGGAACTTAAATAGAATAACAAGAAAGGAGGAAACCCGACTTAAACTCCATGTCCTGGGCGGCTGCAGGCCTGGGGCTCAGTGTCCTTCTCCATCTAGAGGTGGCAGTCGGGCTTCCTGGAGCCCCTCTCAGGGGCTCCTAGCGACAGGACCTGCTCCGAAGATGGTGCTCACCCCCACCCCAAGTCTCCCTGGCGGAGGCCGACAGAAAGCGGGTGTGGAAGGACGGGCTCCGGCCTCAGGAAACCGGTGCTGCTGTGTGGCCGTGGGCAAGCCAAGCCCCCCCGCCAGCCTCAGCTTCCTCCCTTGACCTCCTGGAGAGAAGGAGCCCAGGCCAGGGCTGTTAGGGCAGAGCCAGACCTGTGTGGCCGTGGCGAGTCATTCCGCACTCTAAGCCTGTGCACTCATAAAACTCAGTGATATTCCGGGGGAAACACGCCCGTGAAGCTGGGCGGCCATGACGGCGAAATGCGGCTCTGCCAGTGAACGGCCTGGCGCCACACGGCATGGGACCACCGGCCACCCCGGCCCCAGCCCACAGGCCTCCGGTCCCCAGCACCGCGGGGACCCCTCAGACCGCGGGCCGGGCTCCCAGATGGCGAGGTGGGCCTCCAGGCTGTAGGGCCCAAGTTCCAGGCTTCAAGAGGCCAGGGCGGGAGAGAGGCGTTCCCTGAGCGACCCCGAGTCCTCCCAGAGCCTCAGGGAAAGGGCGCTGGGCTGGCGCTCAGGCTCGTGGGCGGAGCTCCAGCTGTGTGGGGCCTGTGCTGGGTCACTCAGGCCCCCCCAGGCCACCCGGGGGGGCTCATGGGCCCCGCGCTCCCGAATGGACAAAATGGCAGAAGCACTTTTCC